CTCCCTGAGGAGCAGTAGGTGTGTGACCTCACTGAGGAGCAGTAGGTGTGTGACCTCCCTGAGGAGCAGTAGGTGTGTGACCTCACTGAGGAGCAGTAGGTGTGTGACCTCCCTGAGGAGCAGTAGGTGTGTGACCTCCCTGAGGAGCAGTAGGTGTGTGACCTCCCTGAGGAGCAGTAGGTGTGTGACCTCCCTGAGAGCAGGGAAAGGCGCGGATGCGGACCTGCAGCTTCGTGCTGAAAACCTGCAGGTTTGTGCAGTTCTCCTGCAGGACGATGGCCTGTCGCCGCACGGCATCCAGCTGCTCCTGCAGTTGTGCACAGGTGGACTGCGACTGCGACAGCTGGGATAACAGCACGGCCTTCTCAGTGTGCAGGACTGCATTCTGGAAGGCAGGGGTGAGGAGCAGAAGAAAAAAGACAAATTATTAAAGACGTGATCTGCAAGAGGCTCTCAGTAATCGGGAATCACCTTCAACACTGAAACAAAATGCATGTACACACCTGCCTCTCCACCTCGATCAATCGCTTGCCCAGCGGCTCCTTGGTCTCTAGGGTGTCAGTTGTGACAGGAACATCAGCGGCCTTGTCTTGGCTCCCCGACAGCTGATGCTCAACAGCCTGCAAAGCCTTAGGGAGTGACACACATTCTCTCTGTTTCTGAGGTTCCCGTTCCGGGTCTGTTTCCCCATCTGTTCTGGTGTCTTGGTCATGGGCTTCTGTGGAAGCGGCTCCTGGCAAAATCTGCGAGGTGTCACCGCCAGATCCTCCTTTCTGGACACCCGTGTCCTCAGCGGAGAATGATGACAACTTGCACTGGGCCTCCAGTCTCTCATGCTTCTCATGCATCTCTGCCAGCTGATTGGACAGCTTCTTCACCTGCATCTTCTCATTGGCCAACTGACTGTCCAGTTCCTGGGATTTCAGCTTCTCATTGGCCAGCTGACAAACAATATGCTGGGATTGCATCTTCTCACTAGCTAGCTGATTGGCCAGTTCCTGTGACAGAATCTTCTCTTTGGCCAATTCCTGGACACGCAGGAAGAATAACTGAGCGATACTCAATGCACACCACCTTTTATTCACCCAGCCCATAATCAACCTCAGTAAAAGGCACAAACATGTCCATTGAGGCCTAATATCTGAAGGACTATCATAGGCTGATTATCTTCTGCTGTATATTCATGTAGCATACAGCATGTTTGAATACTGACTGTAATGCATCATGGTGGGGTGTGTGTCATGCATGTGTCTGGAATGCTGGGGTGTCTGAGCTTATCGCTCACGGGAGTTTTACTTACACAAAAATGTTCTGAGGGCAGAATGAAAAATAATTGGTTCAGTCTGTGATGCAATTAAAAGCTGAAAAATGCCAAAAGTCTTGTATTTTGTTTGGTTACTTACAGTTAAGGTTTGGGCTGGGTAGGGGCTAAGGTTGTCACTGCTGGGATTAGAGTTTTTCCCACAGAAATGAACGGAGAGTCCCCACAATGACATGAATGCAAATTGTGTGTGTGTGGGTTTGCATAGATCACATCTGAGGACCAAATTGTCCCCAAAGTGTAGTAAAACCTCACATTTGCCTACTTTTGGGGACATGTTTTGAGGTCCCCATTTGGATAACCTCAGTTTTATAGAAATCTGTGAATGCAATCAGAAAGGTAAAAATACCAAAAGTCTTGTATTTGGGTTGGTTACTTCTGGTTAAGGTGAGGGATGGGTAGAGGTTAAAGGTGTTGTGATTGGGATTAGGGTTTTTCCCATAGAAATGAATAGAAGGTCCCCATTTAGATAGGAAGACCAACTTGTGTGTGTGTGTGTGTGTGTGTGTCACAAAGGAGAGCATGATGGGATATGTGGAAAGAAGCATTCCAATGTACCTGTACTCGTACTTAATAAAGGACTTCATTTTCATTTTGTATCATTTGATAAGCAGTCTCTTGTCTCATTTCTGTTCCTCTGTCATGCTGCCCTCATTCTCTTGCCCCCCCCCATGCCCCATTAGTGTTCTGACCTGACTCACCGTGCTCAGTTGGGTCCTGATGTCTGCGACCTGTGCGTTCAGCTGCCTGCTCTCCTCCTCCAGCTCTCGGAGCTGAGCACAGTCCTCTTTCAGCTGAGACACCTCCTGACACACTCGCCTGCGGACAGCGTGGTACGGGCCGTTAGCACCTCATCCTATAGTCGGAATGTCCGAAAGCGGACAGCGTGGTACGGGCCGTTAGCACCGCATCCTATAGTCGGAATGTCCGAAAGCGGACAGCGTGGTACGGGCCGTTAGCACCTCATCCTATAGTCGGAATGTCCGAAAGCGGACGGCGTGGTACGGGCCGTTAGCACCGCATCCTATAGTCGGAATGTCCGAAAGCGGACGGCGTGGAACGGGCCGTTAGCACCTCATCCTAT